CTGTTTCTCTAATAATCGCAACTGCACTTTGTTCCGTGTTACGTTTTCCAGTTCCACACCGTTATTATTCACATGGTCCCTTTTTCTTGGTGCCGTGATATTAAAACGCGGTAAGATCGTATTTATTCCCACACCCTTAACTACTTGATTAGTTCGCACTATGATACTTGCTGTGGTCAACTCGCATTGCTCCGGCAGCTCTATTTCCCCGACTCCGGATATGACCTCCATTCTTTCCGACTTATTTTCGCACGTAACCCGCAAAGTTTCTTCTTTCAAGGTTGAGAAAAACCATACGCGCGCCTTTGTTAATTGTACCCATATAGTTTGGTTAGAAACCATGTGGTCGATTTCACAGTCTTCGTATTTACCATCCTCGTTTACAAACATTTGTAACTCGCAGGGCGTTCCCTGCGAGAATCGATACATTGAATCCACGTTTTTACACACAAAACGATCTTGTACGCTTATAGAATTATTCCACTGTGTTTCACTAAGTATAGAGTACGTTTGACGATTTGTGTCTATTGCTACTACCGGGTGCTTGACTCGCACCGCCGCGAATACGTTGTCCCGTTCATGTACTGGTAAGGGTATTACCCTGTACACATTGTAACTACCGGAACTGATCAATGGAAACTTAACAACCGTAAATATATTTGAGTCCTTGCAATAAACACTAACCGTGACAAACCTTTTAACTTCTAACCAGTTTTCTAGAGTCACAGCAAAAGGAAAACGCAGGTCCCGCATGAACTGATTGTTCGCCTCCTTCAGGCTATATATAATTTGCTCTAGTGGCACCACTTTCAATTTTGCAAATTTAGTGTGCACGTCGGTAACGTACTCAATTATTCTCGCGGAATCGAGTTCCATTTCCGATAGTAAACTGCCCAAGTTTATTCACTTCGGTTTTTCTTTTTCCTATTTTTTGCCGCACATATGGCTTTTACAGCTTCTTTTTTATTTTTCCTGCCTTTCAGTGACCAGCAATTTTCTTTAATATGCCCTGCTTTTTTGCAATAACTGCACGTTTTGTCCACAGCGTTTACTTTGCCATTGCTCGGTTTAGGCAATGCTGTTCTGTTAGACCGATACTCCCTTCCGTAGTGCCCGATCTTTCCGCTCTTGTAGCACGCGTTTTTTTCATAACCTTTTCCCATCTTTTGCTTCACTGCAAAATTTCTTTTGTGGCTGCTTTGTGGCACCGCCACCTTCTCCTCATAGCTTGCTGCGTTTATAGCCTCTTGCAATGTTCCATAGTTGCGTGACCTTATTATTAACCTGACGTCACTCCTTAAACCTATTTGGAACTGTTGCAACGCTTGCCCTTTAATAGTATTCATAATTGTACGTTTCTGTTCTATGGTGTGACCTTTGCCTTCCACCATAGATTCGTACAACTCCATGGCCGTTTGATTTACTCTTTGACCGTAAACCTGTGCGCTTTCATTATTCTTTTGTCGCAATGTGTTAGACTCTATTTGTAATTGTGTAGTGCTTCGCTTTGCAGAATACGTAGCTTCTATTTCTGCCTTTAACTGTCTAAAATCGCAAATATCCTTTGTTTCAAAGTCAATCAATGCTTGCCCTCTCAGCTTGGTTCGCAATACTGCTTGCAAAAGAGCGGGTTCCTTCGCAGGGTTGACCATTCCCTCTGCGTACTCGCATGCATTCAAAAATTCTCGAACTTGCTCGGATGATTTCCCAGTAAACGTCGGTATCATTCCGACCACGTTTTTTAACTTTAGACTTCCATTATACAACACGGCGCGATTTCTTACGTCGTCAGCTGTTCTGTCGTACGTTACGTCTAGCTGTTCGCTCGGACGTCTGTACACGTGTCGCGTCATTGACACACCCGTCCCGCGCTCGTGTGTCTCGCGGAGTTCCGTCACCCGTCGGTCCACCGCGTCTATTCGCGAACTTATTATTTCTAATGACCGCACTACCTGCTGTAGCATTGCATCAGCGAGGTTATAACCTTGTCCACTTGTTCTTGCGCCCTTGCGCCTCGCGGTGCCGCCCGCAGTCAACTGGTTTTGCATTCGGGAAATTTCGCGTTTTACTTCTTCGCGAGCCCGGTTTATATTTTGTTCATCAAATTCTTGTTCCATACTTTCGTTATTCATTTTGGCCCGCTATCTTGTGTAAAACAACTCGCCCTTGTATGAAATTAAAAAAGACCTATGAGTACCACTGCCCGGGGTTCCACTGTTCTCAACTCTACCGCGATTTATTACACTTTGTAAATGACCGGCTATACTACCGTCTAAATCGAACGGAAATTCTCTTTCTACAATTACATTCGGACTCACATTTCTATCCTGCCTATTTATTTCCGCTTCTTGATAAAGCGCCGCCGGTGCGGTTCTCGGTTCCCGTACCGGTAATAGACCTCGTAGCGACCGCGCTACTCGCTCGGATTGTACGCCGCGTTGTTGCAAACGCTAGTTACCGAACATATGTTTTCGCTTGCTTTTACAAAATTTATTCGACTTATAGTAGTTGACCTAATTCCGCTTACGAGAGTCGTATCTGCGTGGTGTTGCTGACTCAGCTTTCCTCGCGCCGCCGCCGCCGCTGCTTCGCCGCTACTGCTGTCTCGCTTGCGTTGACTTCTTTGTCACCTTTGCTACTTTTTTGGCTGTTCTTAGCCGGTTCCTCGGTGCCCTTCCTGGCCCTTCCGTTACAGCTGCTTGTCTGCTTGTTGCTTGCTGCTTCCGGAGTTTCCCGGCGGTAGATTTTGTTTTCCGTTCTGCTACTGCAGTCCGGCCACTTCCTTATCTCCGCCTTGTGTCACTGCCCGTCGCTTGGCTTGCGTTAAGTCAGTGTTGCCGTGTAACTCGAGACTGTGAGTTCGCGGTGTCTTTCTTTCTCTTTTGAACTCGTAGTTCGCAAGACACTCTTTTAACGACTGCTTTTTTTTGTTTCAGGAGCAGTATTCTTCGATACGGGGGTTCACTTATATAATTTTTACACATATATATTTTATATATATTTTCTTTTAAATATGCCCCTTCTAAAAAAAATAGAACTCTACCGTTTTCGTTTTTTTTTCTTTTCTCACCCAGTGTCCTTTGCTTACTTTTGATCTAACCGGAATCTCCTGCTGAGTTCTGTCCTTGACACACGGAATAAGAGATCCCACCGCTGCCACCAAATTTTGTTGGATGTCGAGGAAGGTCTGGTGGTAAAGATGAGGTTCTGATCACGAACTTGTATTCTTATCTTTATTGCTTCGATTACAACGTTGTTTCTTACACGGCTGTTCCTCACTGTGGTAAACTCTCCGGCTTGCGGAGCCACACAGTGAGCTAGCAGTCCAATCACGGTCTTTCCTCTGCTTCATCCACGCAATCGATTTATAGTAGATTGATCGCGCTGATTCAGCAGGCCCACCGGTCCTAGCAACGGCCGTGCTAGTTACCGGTGCCGATGTCGACACATGCTGCGTTGCACTTCGAACAATGCGGCGATGTGTCGCACCCTGTGGCAACCAGCAGTTCTTCCTAGAACTGCTGTCTTTTTGCAACCCAGGTCATTGAGCAATGACAGTGATGTCTTAGCACATTGCTCAATGGCCTCACCTTACCTTAGCTTTTAACACAAAAATTGGCGCACAACAATACATGTATATCTCTTTCACTCACTCATTACATTACTTTTCTAGTTATTTACTTATACATTTTTTGTAACACTTTTTCTATTTATCTCTGTCTGTCTGTCTGTCTGTCTGTCTCTATCTCTCTTTATCTCTCTCTTTCTCTTTCTCTCTTTCTTTCTCTCTCTCTTTCTCTCTCTCTCTCCCTCTCTTTCTTTTTCTCTCTCTCTCCTTCTCTCCCTCACTCATTCATTGCATAACCTTTCTACTCAATCATTCAGTAACATTCTATGCTTTTTTTATCTTTCTCTCTCTCTCTCTCTTTCTCACTCATTCATTACATAACCTTTCTATTCAATCATTCATTAACACTTTATGTTTTTTTTATCTTGTTGCAATGAATGAGTGAGCGAGAGAGAAAGAGTGAGATAGCTAACTTAAAAAAGTATAGAATGTTTATGGATGATTGAGTAGGAAAGTTATGCAATGAATGAGTGAGAGAAAGAGAGAGTGAGAGATAGCTAGATAAAAAAAACAAAATGTTAATAAATAATTGAGTAGGAATGTTATACTGTAAATAAGTGAGAGAGAGAGAGAGAAAGAGAAAGAGAGAGAGAAAGAGACAGACAAAAAGATAAAGATAAATAAAAAAAGTGTTATAAAAAAATGTATGAATGAATGAGTGACTAGAAAGGTAATGCAATGAGTTAGTAAAAGAGATATATATGTATATGTATATATAAACAGATAAGAAACATTTTAAAGTATGTTCATATATATATATCTTTTTCACTAACTCATTGCATTATCTTTCTAGTCACTCATTCACTCATACATTTGTTATAATACTTTTTCTATTTATCTCTGTTTCTCTGTAAGTTTCTCCCTCTTTCTCTTATTCTCTCACTCATTTATTGCATAACATTCCTACTCAATCATTCATTAACATTGTATGCTTTTTTTATCTATCTCTCTCTCTATCTCTCTCTCTCTTTCTCTCTCTCGGTGAGTAGAACGTGTAGACGTGTTTTGTGTTTCTCTGCATTTGAGAGTTGATTTCTGCCGGTTTCTGCTCTTCGGGGCTTTCTTTTCTAGATACTGCTCTTGCCTGGCTCAATTTCTGGCATATTTCATCGTTTCTGTGAGTGCTCTGACTTGGCTGTATTTTTCTTCTGTTGTTTCTGACGGCTTCATTTTCGGCAACGCAAGTTTGGCAAACATTTTCTAGAAGTTTCTGATCTGAGTGCGCGTGTGTGGTTGCATGCGTGTGATTGGAGGTTTCTGCGGACTGGTGAACTTCGGAGCTTGATTCGTGGAAAAGATTGCGGGATTCTTGGAGTGACGCAAGTGTTTCTAGGAATCTCTGCTGATAAAGCAGTTTTCCACCATATCGGTCATGGCTAAAGATGTTGAAGACACTACTGACTTAGGACAGAATAATAGGATGCCTAGGACTTCTAGTAGGTCAAGCATAGTTGACAAATCGCCACCTGGCATTATTATGTCTATATAAAAAATTAATGCACTTAGGGCTTCAATAAGTAAGCATGAGGAAGTTTTTACTAGGCTTATGTTTTGAGCAAGGATACCATTGATAGAAAAGCGCAGATGGAGTCAGCCTTTAGGGCATGCAAGAAAGCTTTCTTAGATGTTTCATCGGTATTAGCTCACTTATTGGAGGAAAAATCTTTAGAGTGAACTATTGTTGGAGAGATTAGAAGAGTTGTTACGGATGCGCTTGAGAAGAGTGAAGAGCGAGGTGCGTTGAAACTGCAGGCTGCGGCGGAGGAGTCTAATGTAATGGCGGCTCGCGGGTCTCTTTCATATGCATTGGCTGTAGGTTCTAAGCCTAAATCTAAGATGCATGTTTTGCGTGGACCAACAGTTGAAGTTCGGGCATCCACCTCTTTCTTGATAGTGCCGCAAGAAGAAGAATCGAGTAGCTTTCCGACGTCGCAAGCAACAAAAGATGCACTAAGTCGTGTCTTCAGGCCCTCTGACTGTCAACTCAAGATTAATAATGTATCTTTTGTACGCAAAAATGGCATTAAAATAGATGCAGTCTCTCCTGACTTGAAGAGAAATTGAAGGAACATCGAGGATTAGCAGAGGCGGGTTTGCGGATAATAGAAAACACAAAGACGAATCCGAGAATTATCGTATATGGCATTCCAACCAATATGTCGTCGGAGGAGATTGCAAGGGAGATGTTTGCGCAGAATTTACAAGGTTTAAACAAGATTACGGATGTACTGAGAGTTGATTATGTATATCCAGCTACATCTAACAAGCATACAACAAGCTGCGTACTGGAAATTACCCCTGAAGTGCGGAATTTATTTTTATCACGCGGTTGAATCTACCTGCGCTTCAATGCTTGCAAATTTGCGGATCACGTAAGAGTGTTACAATGTTACAAATGTCTTGGACATCTGGCCAAAGCATGTAAATCTGCACCATCCTGTGGACATTGTGGAGAAGCGCATGAGATGAAGGATTGCGTTAAGCGTGAGTTGGCTCCCAAATGTGACAATTGTATGCGCCTAAATAATAGTAATGACTTAAGCCATGAAGCAACGGATGCTAAGAAATGTCCTATATTAAGCAAAAAAATAACGGCCCGAATTGCGAATATCAATTATGGATAGACGAATTAATTGAATCGAAGATCTGCAAATATGTCACGTGAATTGTCAGTCTCTATATGCGCATTTTTGATGAATTCAAGTATTTTTTCGGTAATTCCAAGTATCATATTATCTGTTTATCAGAAACTTGGTTGAAGCCTGCAATCTCTGATAGCATGGTTGCTTTGCCTGGCTTTTCACTGTACAGATGTGATAGGCTGGGGAAGGCAGGAGGAGGTGTTGCTTTTTATATTTGCAACTCTATCAGTACAGCTATTTTGAAGATGTCTGGAGGACTTTATTGCAACAAGCCAGAATATATTGTAGCGGAAATCTTTGTTAACAATACAGCAAAACTATTATTGGCAACAGTATATAGACCACCTAACTGTGGCTTACTCGGTGAATTTCAGGATATCTTCCTGGATCTTCAGACTGGTTACAGGCATTCCGTAATTTTTGGAGACTTTAATGCGGACATGTCCGTGGTTAGCTATGACAGCAATCAATTGTCGCAGTTCATTGAGTCATCTGGCTTGTATTTGGTTCCTTACCAAAAAACTCATCATCTGAAAAACTCAAATTCTTTTCTTGATTTATGTATTGTAGATGACTTTGAGAAGGTTGCAGGGTATGGGCAACACAGTGTGTCTTTCTTGTCGGCCCATGATCTGGTCTACATATATTACAAAATTGGAGTAGAGCGTGGATGTCGTAGAGAGGTTCTTTGCCGTGACTTTAGAAATTTCAAGATAGATGAATTTTATTTGAACTTACAAGCCAAAGAGTGGGAGCAACTAAAAATTTCAGATTCCATAGATAAAAAAATAGACATGCTGAATGATTATATATTGCAATGTTTGAATAAGCATGCACCTGTACAGCGAAGAACTTTTAAAAATTTTCCTGCGCCGTGGCTGACTGGGGACATTAAAGCCGCAATGAGAAATAGAGATAGAGTGCGCAGAAGATGGCGGAGGACTGGAAATAATGATGACGATGCTGCCTTCAGGAGGCTGAGAAATCAAGTGCAAGATCAGGTTCGAGCTGCTAAAGCACGCTATTATCTTCGGATATTTGATTCGGCGCAGAATCCAAACACTGTGTGGAGTCACTTGAAACATCTAGGGTAAAGACCAAAGATATCGGCAGGCGGCTGGTGTACTCGGTTGAGGAGTTGAACAACTTTTTCGTGCAAGTTGCTGGAACCACTAGTACTGATGTACCATATGTGTTTTAGATAAATGATTTTGACGACAGCAGATTTTATTGGAAGTATATCTCTCCGCAGGCAATACAAAAGACAGTCTCTAGAATAAAGACCAATGCCACAGGATGCGACGAAATCTCTTTAAAAATGTTTTATCTAACAATGTCGTACATTATGCCTGTTATGGAACATATTTTTGATTTCTCTTTGTCTCATGGCATCTTTCCAAATATATGGAAAAAGGCAGTAGTGTGTCCTATACCAAAGATCAACACTCCAACAGCTTCACAGCACTATCGGCCAATTGTTATCCTTCCTGTGATGTCTAAAATTTTGGAGCAAATAGTATGTGATCAGATACAGGCATTTTTGGAAGAGAATGATCTTTTTGATCCCTACCAATTGGCGTATAGAAAAGGTCATTCTACACAAACTGGCATTATAAGGGTACTTGATGACATGAGGCTAGCGGCGGATAAGAGAATGATTACTGTTTCTGTCTTATTTGATCTGTCTAAGGCATTTGACAGAGTTCATCATCCAACACTTTTGAGGAAGCTAGAAGATAAAAAATTTTCTACTTTGGCACTTCGCTGGATTGCTTCGTATTTGGAAGGTAGACAGCAGGTAACTAAGGATCCAGTTGATCGCGTTATCTCCTCTTCTGCTGTTGTCGACACTGGTGTCCCGCAGGGCTCTGTTTTAGGACCATTACTTTTTATTCTTTATATTTCTGATTTCTCTGAAGTCCTTTCTCATTGCAAATACAGCTTTTACGTTGATGATTTGTTGATCTACTTACATTGTGAACCTCGTGCACTGCGGGATGGCATTGCTTGCGTTAACAGTGAAATCTGCAAAATAAATTCATGGACAACGTTAAATAAACTTCTTTTAAACCGTGAAAAAACGCAGGCCATTATTACCGGCTCTAGTAGATATATAAATGCCATTGACTTTGCGACTTTGCCTGATATTGTGGTGGATGATGTTGTCGTACAATATTCGTCTGCTGTTAAATATTTAGGAATAACTATTGCCAGTACGCTTTCATGGGACAAGCATGTCAACAATACAACGAACAAAAGTAGAAGAACTTTGTATCAACTAAAGCTGTGTAAAAATCTAATGCCGCAAACTCTGAAACAATGCACTTGGACTATTGTTGTAGTGCGCTAACGGACATTTCAATCAGTCACAATTTAAGACTGCACAGAGCAATTAATGCATGCATAAGATTTGTCTTTGGCATTAGAAGAGATGAGCGCATAACACCATATTATGATTCTCTTAAATGGTTGAAATCAAACTCCAGAAGAATTTATTTTGTTGGATGTCTGACTTACTGTATTCTATCGGCGCAGTGCCCTCGAACTTTGTTTGATAATTTTCAAATAAGGAATACCATCTCCAACAGACAGACCAGAGCAGACACTGATCTGCTTGTCGTACCGTATTGTCGAACCGAGATCTCCAAACGGTCTTTCACATGTACTGCGGTAGACACATGGAATAGTTTACCATCGCATATTCGGGCAGTTGACACATTAAGCAATTTTAAAGATAAACTCTATGCTTACTTGTTGGAGCGTAAAAACTGAAACTGTAATTACATTTGCGCTTATCTTTTCTTTTCTTAATTAAATATTTTCTTTTTCTTTGATATTTTTTTTTATATTTTATTTTATTTTATTTTATTTATATTAGGACCTTGAATAAGTTTTCGCTGTGTTTTTGTTTAAAAAAAAATGTATTTAAAATATAAGGCTTACAATCACTTTACTCAAAATATTGTCCATCATTAGAGACCACTTTTTCCCATCTGTCTGGCAGTAATTGAATCTCCCGTCAAAAAAACGATTCATCTTTTGACGCAATCCATGAATCGACCCATTTTTCGGTTTCTTCGAAAGAATGGAAGCGCTGCTCGCTCAAACTATGCGCCATCGACCGAAACAAATGGTAATCGGAGGGGGCTATGTCCTGTGAATACGGCGAGTGGGGTAAAACTTCCCATTGAAGCGTTTTCAGGTAAGTTTTGACTGGTTTTGCCACATGTGGCCGAGCATTGTCATGTAACAAAATCACTTTGTCGTGTCTCTGCTCGTATAATGGCCGCTTTTCAGAGCTTGACTCAAACGCATCAACTGAAATCAATAGCGAGCTCCCGTGATAGTTTCATTAGGTTTAAGCAGCTCATAATAAATTACGCCCTGCTGATTCCACCAAATGCAGAGTAGAAGCTTCGAAACGTGGATATTTGGTTTTGGGGACGATGTTGATGCGTGACTGGCCATACCCCACGATTTTTTACACTTTAGATTGTCGTAGTGAATCCACTTTTCATCTCCAGTGGTGATACGGTGCAGAAAACCTTTTCTTTTCTGCCGTTGAAGCAGCAATTCACACATGAGAAAACGTCGTTCAACGTCTCTCGGCTTCAACTCATACGGCACCCAATGTCCTTGCTTTTGGATCATTCCTAACGCTTTTAAACGTTTTGAAACTATTGACGCATCTACTTGCAATGTTTTCCCGAGCTCTACTAGCGTCTGACATGGATCTTGATCAAGCAATGCCTCCAATTCTTCGTCTTCTTTGTCGGTGCTCCAGAACGTTCTTTATCTTCAAGGTCAAAGTCATTATTTTTAAAGCGCCTAAACCAGTCTCTGCATGTCGTATTCGACAAAGCATTGTCACCATATGTTCAACAAAAATTCTGTGTGCTTCAGCTGCAGATTTCTTTTGAATAAAGCAATGCAATAAAAGTCGCAAAAACACTTTATTTGGCACAAAAGTAGACATTTTCACAATAGGTAAATAAACACGTGGTTGACACTGTGGTAAACTATATCTACTAGAATTTGAGGTTACATATAGTACTACTTAGCTGATGCGTTACCGTACAAAATTCCATGCACAGAGTACTACGCCATCTTTTAAGAAACAGCGAGAACTTACTCAAGGTCCTAATATATTTTAACTTTATGAATTTTTATGTTTATTTTTTGTTTGTTTATATAATATTTGTATTATTTTACTTTAGTTGCGCTTTAGGGGACTTGTCCCGGAAACGCTGGAATAAATAACGCTTTCTCTCTTTCTCTCTCTCTCTCTCTCTCTCTCTCTCACTCACTCACTCATTCATTGCATAACTTTCCTACTCAATCATCCATAAACATTCTACGCTTTTTTTATCTAGCTATCTCATTCTTTTTTTTTCGCTCCCTCATTTATTGCATAACCTTCCTACTTAATCGTTCACTAACATTTTATGCTTTTTTTATCTAGCTGCAATGAATGAGTAAGAGAGAGAGAGAAAGAGAGTAAGATAGCTAAATAACAAAAGCATAGTATGTTTATGGATGACAGAGTAGGAAAGTTATGCAATAAATGAGTGAGTGAGAGAAAGAGAGAGAGAGAGAGAGAGAGAGAGAGAGAAACAGACAAAGAGACAAAAAAAAATAGAAAAAGTGTTATAAAAAAATGTATGAGTGAATGAGTGACTAGAAAGGTAATGCAATGAGTTAATCAAAGAGATATATATGTATATGTACATATAAACAGATAAGAAACATTTTAAAGTATGTTCATATATATTTCTTTCACTTACTTATTGCATAACCTTTAAAGTTACTCATTCACAATTATATATTTTTTAAACTCTTTTTCTGTTTATCTCTGTCTCTCTGTTTATCTCTCTTTCTCTCTTTTTCTTTCTTTTTCTCTCTCTCTCTCTGTCTCTTTCTTGTTCTCTTATTTCTTGTACTCATTAACTAATTGATAGCACTTTCTTACTCACTCCTTTGTTTATTCACATTCATTACATACGCGTACACGCACACATTGCAACATTTCATATAACAAGCACTAACTTTAAGTGTATTTTTTTCTATTTTCCTTTGGGACCTGTAGCCGACCACAATCTTGGCCCCGTCTTTTTAATTTTAACTGATGGTGACGCCGCGTGTATTATTTGCGCCGCCGTTCTGCCTTCCGCTGTTAGCGGTGGCGTCGCCGTTGTCCTAGTCGTAATTTTTTTTTGTTTTTTATTTGTCGTCGGCGTTGGCGTCGGCGTCAACGGCAGCGTCGGCATCGGTGCCGTTGATGTCGTTGCCACTGCCGCCGCTGCCAACTTTTGTCCCGATTTTGTTGGGTCACTCGTGCTGGAAAAAATATATGAAAATATAAATATAGAAAAAAAAGCACATATAAATCACATATCTTACATGCTAAGTTTATAAAAAACTATATAAAACCGATAATTGTACTTACATTTCGACATGCTCACTCTCCTTCAACGGCCTACAGACAAATGAGCGATACCAATCGTTGGTTCACAAACATTGTAAACAAAACTCGCGATTCGCTGAACAATGTCAGAGGAGATCGGGCAGGGGAAATCATTCTCCTACTGCTGTTTTCTACTATTGCGTGCGTTTATCTTTCGGTCTCCGTCAGCGGGATCTCCGACCCAAACGTACTTCTTTCAATTGTAACGGTTCTGCTGTTTGTGAGAATTTTCCCGTTTTCTTTTATTAATTTATTTGCTGCGGAATAACTTGTCGGGATCAGAGACAAGTAGAAATAAAGTAAACTCGGTGATTTTAAATATGAAAAATTGATATGATTTATTCAAACAAAAAAAAGCAAAAAAAATATTTACAACAAAACACTCCACCAAACGGTGAATTCAAAATAATAATCTTTGTAAGCAGGTTTCAATCGGCGGTGCGTGATATGGTAGCGTTCGTACACGGTTCATTCAACTTTCGGGAAAAAAATATTTACACACGGCAGGCGATTTAAACGGCGCGACTCTGACAAGGCCGTACGGAACCCTTGAACCGATATTTTGTCTTCCGAACCGCGAGTTCCGTGGAGCTTCAAAAACGCGTTTTATCGCAAGAAATAATATTTATCGCATAAAAAAGTCGCTTTTTCTGCTGAAAACCGAGTTATACAATGTCGCTTTGAAAACCAAGTATTATCGGTTCGCGGAGAAAAATATTTACAATATCGAAAAGTTACTTTCTTCCGAAAAAGTGTATTTGGTTGTTTGGCCGGTCTTTCTTTGCTAGGCTTATATTACTATCGTTCTTTGCTCGATCTCTTAAAGCGGCTCTAACGGAAAGAATCGGTTTGCCCGACGAAGAATACGTGATTCCCTTAGAACGGTTCTAGCGGAAAGAGAGCCGGTTTTCCCGGCGGGAAATCGGAAGATTCCCCGGAGTGGTTTTTAGCGGAAAGAGAGCCGGTTTCCCCGGCGGAGAATCGGAAGATTCACCGGACGGAACGGAAAAAGAGCCGGTTTACTCGGCGGAGAATCGGAAGATTCCACGGAGCGGAGGGGAAAGAAATCCGGATTACTCGGCGGAGAATCGGAAGATTTCCCGGAGCGGAGCGGAGCTGAAGCCGGTTTACCCGGCGAAGAATCCAGAGATTCCCCGGAGTGAAGCGGAGCGGATGCCGGTTTACCCGGCGGAGTATCCAGAGATTCCCCGGAGCAGAGCGGAGCGGATGCCGGTTTATCCGGCGCAGAATCCAGAGATTCCCCTGTAGCAGAGCGGAGCGGATGCCGGTTTACCCGGCGAAGAATCCAGAGATTCCCTGGTGAGGATCGGATCGCTGAGTCGCTGTCGGTTTGCCTGACCGAGAAAAAGCTTCGCTGAGTGCTACTCGTAAGATCCGGAGATCGGAGCAGATCTGATCTCCTCGGTTTTTGGCCCGGCTTTTATACCCGCCGTTTTCCGCGGGAGGGGTTGACAGGATGCGTGGAAAAACAATTATTTGTTTGCTCTGCTTATTTTCGTGATACCGATTTCCACAGTAACTTCTACAACATTACTTCTTAAAAAATGAGTTTTAGAACAAGTGATTTACGCAACGATACTTTGTAAGAGTGAGTAACAACAATACTTTGGAAAAAGTGAGTTTCAGAAAAATAAGTTTCGTAACACAGATTCGGTAAATATTTACACCGCGGAAAAGTCGCTTTCTTACGTAAATTGATCTTTGCGGATCGGCCGGCCCTTTTTGGTAGGCGTAGCGCAGCGCCGTTGTTCGATTGTTCTCCTGGAACGGATCCAACGGAAAGCCGGTTTACCCGGCGGAGAATACGAGATTCCCTTGAAGCGGGTCTAACGGAAAGCCGGTTTGCCCGGCGGAAAATATAAGAT